GAGAACCACGAAGAATGAACCCATTTGTAAAGTTAGAAATAAATAAAAAAGGAATTTTTATAAGTTAAATGCACCAGTGACATAAGTCAACATCAACCTGGAAATTATTGTTTATTAAATGAACCCTCAAATTTTTATTTTTATTTTTTTATGCAGTAACGCAAAAGGTCATGATTAAAGGCTCACGAGAAAATAAAATGAAAAAATGGCACAAAGGAAAATATATTGCTCATTGGTACACCAAAAAGAAGAGGAAGTTGGGCATTATAAACATGACCATTTGGAAAAAAAAAATGATTGGAATTCATAATAATTCTTGAACATCTGAAAACATTAAGCAAAACAGAAACTAAGACAATGTAAACACTATCAACATTTTTGAACAGCACATCACAATAGCAGAAGAATGAAGGGTTTTACAGAGAAATAGTAGTCCAATGACAAGCCAAAAGGAATGGTAAGCTTGCATCATAAGGAGTGGTTGAATTATAAATAATGTTCCAAGTAAAACCTTCATTCTGTGAACTATTGAACTCATTATGTAATGTGATAATTTTGTGACCTTCAAACACACAGACGGTTCCAGGAAGCAAATTAGATAGTGGGTGGCCAATAGTGCCAACAGTCAGATGTCTTTGACAACTTTGACTTTATTTTAACTCATAAAACATGTATCCATAAAAATAAAAGGATAGAAAGGGAGATGTACAAACTAAAAGCATGATGACTGAGAAATACGTGTAATATTGATGATTTCTACCAATCGTCCAAACAACAAATGCGTTATGAATCAAAGACAGTTAACACAATTTTACAGAGATAACCAATAACTTACATGCTGTCCTTGGTATACTTTCTCTATTGCCTCACTGGCAGCACTAGCTTTGAAGATAGCATCACTTGACGCACTTGATTTAACATCAAATCCTGAAGCACGCCATCTTGGCAGGCCTCCATCTAAAACCCAAATTCTGTCATGACCAAAAACTCGGAACATCCTGTTATATAAAAGAAGTTGACGAGTTTCTCACTCATAATCAAAGAACTCAAAAGTTTAATGCTTCTATTTTGTTTCTTTGGTTTGAATTTAAAACTCACCATCAAACACGAGCTGCACTGAAAAGTATTTTTCCATCATACACAACAAGCCCATCCTTATTCTCAATGCCAAGGGCAGAAACAGCAGCAGCAAATGCTTCCTCCAATGGCAACATATGAGGCAACTGGTAAACGCCATTCAAGAGGAAAAGCATTATAAATTATTTACATGCATATGCATATGCATTTACAAATGATTGTTTTATGGGCGTATTGATTAGTATAGGTACACATTTGCACATGTATACACAGCATATGCGTACACGCTATCAATCTAGATAAAACTTTGCAAAACCATAACAATAAAGATGTTTGATCCTAAAAAGAATTATTATTGCCTTATTGCACAACCAGCAATCCGATCGATATAGATAATATTTTATTTTGTAGTAACCATAGCTAAAAAGCCAACACAGTCGGATAATTTACCAGCTCCTAGGCTAGAATTCCTCGCTCCAAATTTCCCGAATGGTGCCCCCAATTTATCATCCATTCATCCTCAACACAACTACAAATTCGGGATTTCGTGTCCAAATAAATAATGCTCTTTCACAGCCAATTCTAAGAAATGCACAAAACAAAAACAGTAGTGAAAGCATATTTCCAAAGCTAACTCAGTTAAAACAAATAAATCATCAATTAATTGACAAATCTTGCGAAAAATTAGGAGCTAGAAAAAGAAAATTCAAGAACCCAAAAACTTGCCTTTTAAATGGGATTCACAGAATGAACAAGAAAATTAATTTTCAGATAGACCTTGAGTGCGGTTTAGGAATCAGAATCAAGGGGCTTCACCTTCTTCTTCTTCTGCCATCGAATCATAGGTGGAAATGTAGACTCGAAGGACTGCTGCCAGCTGCCGCATCTCACAAAATTCAAGGGCTTGAAGGTGCTACGTCTAGGGCTCGAAGGTGCTGCCACTGCTGCGTGACCTGCGTTTAGGGCTCGAACGCAGGAGGCCGGTGGTCAGTGGTGGAAGGCAGCGGGATAGAGAAGATAGACGAGCGGCGCCGATCGCGTGGGAGTAAAACTCGTGGTTTGAGTATTACCTCTGCCTATTTTACTCTTAGTCTCATCCATTAGTTGTCTAAAAGAAAAGGTTTTCGCAACGTTTTATAAACGTTGCCAAAGACCAATTTTTGGCAATGTTTATAAATGTTGTGAAAAATAAAACTTTTTGCAACGTTTGATAAACGATGCAAAAGATAGCTTTTGGCAACGTTTTTATAAACGTTGCCAAAGACAGATTTTTGCAACGTTTTATAAACGTTGCGAAAGACGAAACTTTTTGCAACGTTTTATAAACGTTGTGAAAGACGAAACTTTTTGTAACCTTAAATAAACGTTGCAAAAAGACGACATTAGCAACATTTACTTAAAAAATGTTACCAAAGCTCAATTATATTAAGCAATGGCAACATTCATGTATTTGAATGTTGCGATTGACCCCTTTAGCAACGTTTAATTAACGAATGTTGTTTTTTACATGTTGCAAAAAGTCATTTTTGTTGTAGTGCGCCTTCCCTCTTTGGTATACTGCCTCAGCGCCACCACAATCAAATCCTCCACCGTGGCCTCCGGTGGCATCACCACCTGAACAGCGCCAATGCTTCTATGTATTATCACATTTAGCAACAATTTCGTAAGCTTAGGCCTTTCTTTCACCACCACTACATCCGACAACCATGCTCTTACTCTCTTCCCTGCCACCAAGTCCGGTACCTTTCTTGGCCGCGGCAGCATCCCTTCCACCACCGCGCCGCCACTTCTTCCTTGAAATGACGATGCCTTTTCTAATAACAATCCCTTCCTGCAGTTCGTCTTGTGGCCTTCTTTACTGTAATTCTTTGAAGTTGCCAATGAGTAATATGTATTCATTGTAGTAATTTCAAAGTTATAATAGAGGTAAATCACAAACCTTCGTTTTTAGATTTTTAGATTAAGTGTTGGGCTAAATGTACTCACTTTCAGATGGAAATGTTTCTGCATATATGTATAACATCGAACAGGAGATAGAGTTTGGTGGGATGTTCTATGATTTATTTTTTGGAGAATATTTATTTTTGTAGAATTGAACTAGAACGTAGAACCAGAATCGTACAATTCGATTTCGATTTTGCTATAGTGATTGAATGAAACCGAATGATTCTATTTACAAAAGAATCAAAATTTATGGTTCAATTTCAATTCTTGAAATGCCAAATCAAACCACCCATAATTGTGAATAGGGTTGGAACATTATAAAAACCTATATGATTAAACATTATTGCTATATGATTACTCGAGTTGACTGGTTAGTGGGCAAACAATTATTTTAGTAGAAAGAGAAAGAGGAAAGAGATCATCAATTCGTTCGCTCGGATGTGTTATATTTCTTATCGATCGGCCACGTTTCTCAAATGTTGAATTGTTCCCAGATAGTCTGTATATATGAATTGTGAGAACTAACTGTTCTAGTAGAAAGATATGGCACACAAACTTATTGGGGCTATACCAATTTAATCCATTTTGAAAAAAGCTAGACCATTTCAAAACAAATTACAACAATCAAATTAATTGGCAGCTACACTGTTCAAATGAAATAAAGTGTAGTTATCCAATTAAAATTATATTGAGGTATAGTTATTATTTGGGTAATATTTGTATTCAATGACCTTTCACAGGCGTAAAAAGTATTATTGAAAATAATGCACAAACAAATTTAAAAGTACAAGCTATAAAGATATTTGTAAATACTTAAATCACTTTTTATGCATATATTTTGAGGGATTCGTAAGTACTATCTATTTCTACTCATTTCGATCATTTTATAATTTAGACAATTTATAAACACTTCCAAAACATGCTCGACTAGCTTGATTTGTTAAAAATACTAACGAACAATGCAATTTTACAAAAAAAAAAAAAAAAAAAAAAAAAAAAAAAAAAATAAAAAAAAAAAAAAAAAAAAAAAAAAAAAGGAAAAAGAAAGAAATAACCACCAAAAAATATGAACTATCACTTGTAAATTATAAATATTTATTTGAAGTCACGATTTTGTGAGTGAATTAATCCTAAGAATATATCCTCATTTTGGATTCGCAAGACGAGCATTTTCATCTAGAACAAAATCAACAACTTGTCCATATATCAATTTAAAGTAGAGGTGGAAATTCAGATAGTGCGCGGAATGCCAAATAATTAGAAATAGACCATGAACCAGTACATTACAATGCTAAAATATGTACCCATTCTAAACATTTTATTAATATAGCGAAAAGGACACCTCCTTAATCCCACAAATTACATCAAAAAGTTTAAACCTAATTTTACAAAATTACTAGCTAGTACAAGTAGAGCCAATAACTTGTTCACAGAAACTCCATGAACTTGACTACTTGAGCCTAGACAACCCATTCTTGGTAGAGTTAGCAGCTTCTTTTGAACAGCTCGAAGTCAAAGCCGTCGTCAAATTACCGCCGTCTCTGGTGGCCTCCACTGCCTTCTTTGGGCACAGAAAAAGTTCCTTGACCCCAACGCCATTAACTTCTCCTCCCTGTTTAAACCTGCAGGTCCCACCATGAAAACATTATTTATTAAAACCACAAAACTGCATGTAACCCTCTCCACATGATGATTAGCCCCTATTTGGTGTCCTTTATTTCAATAATAAAAAAAAAAAAATGTTTTGAATAGTATTTTTTTGAGAATGTGTGGTTAAAAGGTAACGAAAAACATGTAGAATATTTTATTGTGTGAACGTTGTTGAAAATGAGTATGAAAAACAAAGTAAAGTAAGGTAAGGTAAAAAGAATCAAACACCAGCTTAGACATTTTACATAATTTGGGTACCGTAGAAAGAATTTTTACGAATTCATGCTAAACTAATACAACCACAGCAATAAATAATAAAATAATAAATTGGTGCGTTCTTTGTCTTAATTATTACATATTTTTGTTAGTTATGTTAACGATTAAAATTTAGTTTGTTTTTCCATCATATAACCAGGAAAGTTTAAAATAACATGTTACACTTCATGCTTAACACTAAAGGATGGAAAAATTACAGATTTGGCATTAATTGCAAAAGGGGAAATGCCATTTGTACAATATTTTCTTACAACATTGTTGACCATGTTGGTAGGTGGCAAAAAGGTGTTGGATGGAAAGAGATATTGTTTTTTAAATCATTCAATAACAACGTGACACGTGACATGTTGTCAAAAATATTGTACAACAAGCATGATTGAAAATGGGAAATTGACATTAATTTCAGCAAGCATGTTTGGAAACCTTTAAAAAATAGAAGTTTTATATTCACTGTTTGGATTATTTTCTTCTTGCTTTCAAGAAAACATGTTATCTTTTTAATTATAAGAAAGTAACTAGCGGAGTCATGGAAATTACAAGAAAGCTTACTTTCAAGACTAAACTGAGAGTAATGGAGGTCGAAGCCATTAGGGTCTGTAGACGGGAGAATCAGCCGCCTTCCCTCCTTGGCATGCTGTCTCAGCACTGCCGCAATCAAATCCTCCACCGTGGCATCCGGCGGCGTCATCCCCTGTACAGCGCCAAAGCTTCTCTTTATTGTCACATTCAGCAGCAATTTCGTGAGTTCACGCCTTTCTTGCATCGCCACTACATCCGGAGCCCCTGCACCAACTCTCTTTCTAGCCACCAAGTCCAGCAACGTTCTTGGCCGCGGCAGCATCCCTTCCTCGACCACCCTTCCAGTTCTTCCGTGAAACGACGATGCTTTTTCTGATGATAATCCCTTCCTGCAGTTCTTCTCGTGGCCTCCTTGACGGGAATTCTTGGGATTCGGCATGAAGAATTATATATTTGTAAATCGTAATTATAGAGAAAATTGAAGGAATGAGAGTATTTATATTTTGGGTGGGGGCGTGGAACATTATTGGAATCTATATGATTACTTGACTCCACTGTTTGTTGCATTGAAAATTATTTTAGTAGAAAGAGTAAAAGGAAATAGAGTATTAACTTTCGATCGCTCGGATGTTTATAGACTAATGTTTCGTACGGGTCAAGTCTCTGAATTGCTGAATTGTTCCAAACAGGGTGTACACATAGTGCAAGTATATAAGTTATGTGAATACTTGGTTGACTGTTTAGTGCACTAGAAGTTGTTCTAGTAGAAAAAGTAAAATCAATCATTTTTTATTAATTATCGGAAATTACAATTATTTATCTCACACTTGGATTGGTAATTCCAAAAATTGGAAGAAAATTTTCCCATGCAGTAAATTAAAAGTTACTAAAAAATAAATGTTTTTCATTCAATCAAACTCATATTAATTTTAGCCATGCAGTCATGATTACTAATCACTTATTAAACAAACATTTCGTGGACATAATAATTTCATCCTAAAAATATAGTATAATTTTAGTCCTTTCTCCGCGTGACATTAATTTTTTTTTTTTCAAGATTTAATATTATTATATATTTTTTGTTATGCCTGCTCCTCACTTGGAGACTATATGACGTGCAAATGCCAATTAGGTTTGCTAAGGCGACCACCTGAGTGCCAACCCCCAACGATGTCCAAGTGCGCAACCAAATTCGAAGGTTCACCTCACGACGACCCAGTGGCTGGAATTGGTCGGTAGTAATGCCACACCTGCATTGGCGCTTCCAATTCATGGCTAAAGGAACAAAGGACAGTTACAATGCCTTTAAGAGACTCAAGCATATTTTCCCTATCAAGCAGAACGGTGCCGCAGCGTTCCATTGGATGTTCTTAAAAGAGGTAAAAATCTTATCATTGTACTTCGTGTAGACATTTATCTAATTAGGAAAGTCTGATGAGGGGGACAGACAACATTCATAAGACAATTAAGCAAGGGTGTTAAGGGATATTATCCTATATCGAATAAAGATGATAATATAGACCAACTTATAAGGTTTTGACTACTTCTCTTAATAAGATTGATCTTTTAAGATGGAACACCAAGTCTTAACATTGTATCAGAGCTCATTAAACTCTAACGATCGATTCGATTTGATTAAAACTAAAAAAATGAGCACACAAATTTCAAAATTGGTTTGCTGAAACGAGCCACCATCTTGTGGGGGCATGTTACTGGATATTATCTCATATTGAATAAAGATGATAACATAGACTAACTTATAAAGTCTTGGGATACTTCTCTCAATAAAATTGACATTTTAAGATAGAACCCCAAATCTTAACAAAGTGAACCACTTTCAAATACAAAGTCAAATATACGAAAGGCATAGAATCAAATATATGATTGTAATAGGGTCGAGAAGAGACCAAATCAGTTATTACAATGAACAAAATTCAAAAATATAACCCAGACTTTCACAAACCATAGATATGTAGTATTTGGAAACTTAATAAATATTTTCTTTATTGTTGGATTTGGGCCTCATGCCTTACTATTCATTTGGTCCTGATTCTGTGTTGGGTCGTTCTTTACATGGATTGATTACTTATGGTTTTTGGGTTCTGGGCCCGTTATGTAAAATTGTGTTTTGTAAACATGACTTTGGCTGTTGCAATGCTTTAATCTGGATCCTTCATCTGATACAATTGTCACCGTTTGATCCATGCTTTTTGACCTAAGTATAAATAGGCCCCTTTATCTTTCTTGTCCTCCACTTTGAGTAATTTCTAAGTGTTGTTCTCATGGTTTTCTTGTCTAATTCTCTCTATAATCTTTGAGGCGTTGTCTCTATAAATGTTAGGGTTGTGAGCTGAATTCTAGATCTGAAAATGTTTGCCTTCTAAAGAAATCACTTTATGATCCAAAACAAGCACTCAGACAATGAAATAAGAAATTCAACTCATATGTTCAAAACTTGGATTTCTTAAGAGCGGTTTTAATTTCTAGTTCTATTTCAGAGGGTGGTCAGG